AACAGAAGGGCGGAGCCTCGAACAACGGAACGGGGGGTGGACGAAAGGGGGCGGCAGGCGCTCTGGGGAAGCCCAGGAGCGACGGACGACGGACCCGGCCAGTCGGGGTTGGAGGGTCTGGGGGGAGGTGGGGTGGACACGGGAAGTTACACCAGTGACAGTGGAAACGATAACCACGATGGACCATGACAAAAATCTAAGACTAAAACAAGTCGAAAAAAACTATTCGAACGAAAAAAAAGGAAAACTTTGGTCGAGAAGGGAGTAGACGTAACCCAGGATAAACAAGGGGTGGACTGTTGTAGACCTGAGTTTCTTATTTGCAGGGCGACTCTTGCAAAATCTCCTTGTCATCGCTACTTACAAATGTTACATAGTTCTTTGTAGATTCTTTCAATAGTGTTTGGTAAGGTTCTTGCAATGGAGGGAGAAGTCTTGCTTGGAAGACCCATGGCTTTATTTTACGGCGACTTTGTAGATCTTGTCTCTACTTCCTTGTACTCTGCTTTTTACGATCGACTCTAGTACGGGGTGTTTGTAGTTATAGGACCGGTTGCATTAAAGAGTTTGTTTCGTGTGTTCAAACAAAAATTCGCGAGACTATTAGACTGCAACTGGCTAATCGGCACATACGTAGTGTCCTTGGCAAAATCTTTTTTTCCTTATGGAGACTTTGTACATAGGGCATACAACGAAACTTTACAGACAAAACATAGTACGGATTGTAGCTCCCTTGCAAAATATTTTCTTGGCATAATTACCAATGCGGGTTGTTAGGTTGTTTGTGGAGTCTTGCACGTCCGGTTTTGCGAAGTGAAACATGTATAGTGTATTTCTGCACAAATAATCTTTGTTGAAAGACAGTAAGAGTTGCGAATTAGTGAGCGAACCGTCTACAGAGTCGAGATTGTCTCGCAATAAGAATTCAATTGGAATTTGAGAGATACTTGAATAAACTTACTATCTTGTAGGATTTTTCCAAGAAACTGTAGTCTAAATTTTACAAAGACATGTTGTAATAATCTTGGACGTCATTGCAACGGTATTCACAACGCTTATTATAGCAGGGCGCATCGACCCTATCGAGATCAGAATTGTTATACAGAGTAAACCAAATCGACGGATAGTTTTGACTAAGTTTAAGGGTCCATGTCCTTAA